CCCCTCCCCTCCCCTCCCCTCCCCTCCCCTCTCCTCTCCTCTCCTCTCCTTTCCTTTCCTTTCCTAAGCCGATCAAAGATAACAGTGACCAGAACACCTAGAAAACTCTGTTTTAAGAGCCCAGCTTGAAGAGAGTCTGTCTGGCTTTTGTGGGAAAGGCTGACCCTCCCTGAGCAAGGGTCGCCCCTGGGCCTGGTGTAGAATCTGACCCGTTGGGTTGAGTGGCCCCGGGCCCGAGGCATAGGCCCGAGTCAGAAGGGAAGGAAAGGGCAAAGGGGAACCCAGAAGAGGAGGACCAGCCCCCCCCCCCCCCATGGCTTCCGCTGCCTCAGTTGCCTTCCGTGGGTGGGAGCCACAGAGTTCCAGGTCGTGTTCCATGACCCTTCTCCCTCTGGACTGTCAGTCATCAGGCCACAGGCCCCATGACCTTACATCCCAGCAGCGTAAAGAACCGTATCTACCGCTGCAGTCAGCTTTTCCGTTCGAGTGGCCGTCTGCGCGCCAGGGCCCCGGAGCCTAGCACCACTTCTCTGCCGCTAAATCACTCTGTGACTCTGGACAAGTCACTTCCTCTCCCCGAGTCTCTGTTTCCCCTTTTGTAAAACGAGCGGGTTGGAGTAGGTGAGCCCGAAGGGCGTTACCAGCTCCAACACTCTATGGCTCTGAACGTTTCCTGGTCCCCCAGCTCAGTTTCTTTGAAGCTCTTGCCTGCTTCTGCTTCCGAATGAGGTGGCCGACTTTAACTCCACCTCTTCCCTGCCTTGACTCCTCGAGCTGGGTGGAGAGGCAGACTTGTGGAAAAGGCAAGTCTGTGCTTTTAGCTCAGCGGGGTTTCTCTAAGTCGAATAGAAACAACCCTTCAGAGAGGCTGTCCAGGTGGGTGTATATTGCCATTGTCTTCTTATAAAGGTGCATGACGGCTGAATTTCTGTCTATTGAATCCCATTTTAAATGCGCTAGAAGAGCTGGCCATTTAATGGAATCCTGCTGCAAATCCTTTTATAGAATGAAAAGCCACTCAGGAATTGATCTGGTGTATTAGAATCCAGAGGTTCAGCTCCCGGATTTGCCAAAAATGGGCCTCCTCCCTCTATGGTAAGGATGGTTTCCTTTGTGCTTCCCCAGGGTCTTCTGAGCTGCTGCACCGCCCCCCTCCCCCACTGAAAGGCATTTCTGGGGCCCCTAAGGGGTGCTGCCAGGGCTTGTGGGGCTTATTTCCCCTTGGAAGGGCCCCCACATTTCTCTCTCCCAATTCAGGGCATTGCTACTCTTGTCAGTTTCCTCTTATAAGGCCTGGCTTGATTGGCGCGAGGGAAATCCTGACAGGTGGCACACTAGAGGGGTTTTCTTAACCTCTGAGGACTTATCAGTGCTTTTGGGGGGTTCTTCTGGCTGATTATACAGCAGCGTCCACTCTGTCGGTGGCACTGGAAGCAGCAGATAGGGCTCTCATCCACCTGATGGCTTCGTCAAGTATTTTAGCTGCATGTTTCAGGATATGATTTGACTTCTGGTTCACATGAATCCTTGTAATAGTAAGTTACACTGTATAATAATAAGGTATGTATATATAATAGTAATGTTATAATAAAGAAAATAACAGGGTCTTATTGTATTTTTGCGAAAGTAAGTGTTTACATACCATAAAACGGCCCGAAAGCTGAATCCTTAACCACATTTCCTAATTATCTGTATGTGGAAGCACCTTTTTCGGTACTTGTAACTGAAGATTTTGCCACAGTAGCTGAAGGTACTCTCCTGCCTAGGAAAGTCTCATAGTAGGATCTGTTTTAGAAAGTAATCTTTTTATTCTGATTATAAAGGTAAAATATGTTCTCCCCAAAAGTCAAATGCGCCCTATTGTGGAAAATTTGGGGAACACAGCAAAGCCACCACATGTACATTCCCTCCACTCAAAGGTAACTGTCGTCACCATTCTGGTGTGAACTTGACCCCTGAACAATGCAGGGGTTAAGGCCACTGACCCCCTGCACAGTCAAAACTCCATGTATAGCTTTTGACTCTCCCCAAACTTAACTGCTAACAGCCTACTCCTGGCTCGATGCCTTACCCAGAATGTAAAAGGTAATACAACACATACTTTGTATGTCGGATGTATTCTAGACTTATAGTCTTACAATAAAGGAAGCTAGAGAAAAGAAAATGTTATTAAGCAAAATGTAAGGAAGAGAGAATACATTTACAGGACTGCCTTTTGCTTTTGTTGAACAAAATCCACGTAGAAGTGGACCCAGGCCCTTCAAACCTGTATTGTTCAAGGTCACCTGTATATTCTTCCAAGTACATAGACATTCCTCCCCCCTCCCATGATTGGAATGATCCTATAGAAACGGAGCTTTGGAGGCACCTGGGTGGCTCAGTTGGTTAAACCTCCCACTTTGGCTCAGGTCATGATCTCACGGTCTGTGATTTCGAGCCCCGCATCGGGCTCTGTGCTGACAGCTCAGATCCTGGAACCTGCTTCGGATTCTGTGTCTCCCTCTTTCTCTGCCCCTCACCTGCTCCTGCTCTGTCTCGCTCTGTTTCTCAAAAATAAATAAAAATGTTAAAAAAAAAAACAAATGGGGCTTTGTTTTTGTTTCATTATTTGCTTGATCGTATATGGTGATCATTTTTCCTTGTCATTAAATATTCTCTTTATTTATTTATTTAAAAAAGATTTTTTTTAATGTTTTATTTATTTCTAGGAGAGAGAGAGAGACAGTGAGAGCAGGGGAGGGTCAGAGAGAGAGGGAGTCACGGACTGAAACAGGCTCCAGGCTCTGAGCTGACAGCACAGAGCCTGACACGGGGCTCGAACCCACGAACCGCGAGATCATGACCTAAGTGAAAGTCGGACGCTTAACCAACTAAGCCACCCAGGCGCCCCTCTCTTTATTTTTTTTAATGTTTATTTATTTTTGAGAGAGACAGAGACAGAGACAGAGCATGAGTTGGGGAGGGGCAGAGACAGAAAGGGAGACACAGAATCAGAAGCAGGCTCCAGGCTCTGAGCTGTCAGCACAGAGCCCGACGTGGGGCTTGAACCCACAAACTGCAAGATCCTGACCTGAGCTAAAATCGGACGCTTGATTGACCTAGCCACCCAGGTGCCCCCTTGTCATTAAATATCCTTAGAAGATATTTGTATCAGCTGCTATTACTCTGTCGTGCATCACTGAACTGTTCACTGATTTTGATCATCCTGAAGGTTTGCAGGGGTCTATCAAACATGGGTAGACCCAAACATATGTCTATCAAACATCAGGGCTGGGATGGAGATGGAGAAAAGGGAAGATGGGAGAGATCAGGCCCACCAGTAAGTGACATACAAGGCTGTTGGACAGAATCTTATTTCGGTGTGTCTACGGCGAGGTGCAGAGAGGCCAGAGGAGAAAGTTTAGGGAAAGGCCAGTGGTCACCACTGAGTCCCAACCTTTTCATTTTGGTTTCATCCCTCAGAATGTCAGCTACTGACTTAACCACATGAACCTGAAACGGAGGCCGGAAACTCCATTGATCTAGACGCACCCTCAGTTCCCAGGGGCCTCACATACTGCTTGCTTCCTATGCCACTAAGGTTGGAAGGGCGGCGGGGGGGGGGGGGGGGAAATGGGGGGGGGGCGTGTAGAAGGGGCCAGGGCTTGCCCACTTGGGTGCTTATGGGACTCTTTATTTTCAGAATAACAGCAGTGGGAGAAAGACGCACAGTTGGAACCACCATAACTCGTTCTACGTAACGCGAACCTTTGAATATTCAATTAAAAAATGAGATTGCTGTGTCCTCAGGGGAGGAGGCGGAAGAGAAAGAGAGCAGAGCTTCTGCCGGCCCGTGATCTGAAATGCGGTATAACGTATTTCAAACCGCAGGTGACTGCAGATGGGGAGAAAACAGGAAATGGAATTGGGGAGGGGAGGGGGGCTCTCTCGATTCGTGGGAGCCCTCTTTTCATTTTGCCTTGCTTTTAGCTCTTTTCAGACTCTGCATCCTAATTCCCCTGCTGCAAAGCTGAGTGAGAACTCTCTTTTCTTGTACTAAACATGTTTTTAAATGACACAGGTAATGTGTGAATACATTCATGCTGTAAAAGGATCAAACAATACAGAAGCACCCTGAATGCCCCCCTGAGGAAGCCCCGATTTCCATCCCCGCTCCACTCCCCTGCCATCCCTGGTTCCTGGTTTGGCGGGTTCCTTGTTGTCCCCTCTCTATGCACTCACATACATTTATTACAAATACACATATATAGGGCTTTTTTTTTTTTTGCATATATGGGCTTCTACTGTGCTCATTGTACTATGACTTCTTTTTTCTACGTTATAAATATGTCTTGGAAATGTTTGCGTCAGAACATATAGACCTATCCCATTCTTCTTAATGGCTGCAGAATGTTCCAGAATATGCACATGCCGTAATTTCGTTCAATATTTTTCTGTTATCAGACATCTGCGGGTTTTCCCCCCTCGTTTTTCAGTATCCTAATCGATGCCGGAATGAATGCCCCTATACGTGGATCTTTGCGCAGACAGGGGAGTTTCTGTAGAATAGATTCCTGGGGGAGGCTGCAGGGGGACAGGAGACAGACCCTTTGACATTTTGTTGACTGTGGCCTTTCTAGCCTCTCGGTTCAAGCCTTGAACGTGACACTGCCTCCTACTCCAGATCGTAACTTGAGGGATTAGTGTTGGGCGAAGTTGTCACTTCCATCTTCTCTTGGGCACATTGTAATCAAGACCTCAATTAATCAGGCCACCTTAAGGAGAAAGAGGAAAGAGATAAGACAGCAGAGCTTTAGTGAGGGAGGGGGAAGAAACTTCCAGGGCTGTCCTGGGGTCAGTGTACATTCAGTCCGATGTCCTTTTTTTACCTCTACATATTTAGCTCTGAACAATGTGGGCTAATGCTTATAATGGTGACCTTGACATCTTATAAGATCCATCAAAACAAGAGTGAATAGTGCTCGCTAGACAGGATTTCCTAAAGCAGGAAATATATATACAAATACATTTTTGAAGCTTTCTCACCTAAAAGCATCAAGACAAAAAGTTTAGTGCTTAGGGGCACCCGGATGGCTCAGTCGGTCGAGCATCTGACTCTTGGTTTTGGCTCAGGTCATGATCTCACGGTTCATGGGATCGAGCCCCACATTGGGCTCCCGGCTCCAAGCTAAAGAGGAGCCTGCTTGGGATTCTCTCTCTTTCTCTCTCTCTCTGCCCCTCCCCCACTTGCACACACGGTCTCCTTCTCTCTCAAAATAAATAAATATTTTTTAAACAGTTTGCTGCTTAAATCTCAGTAGGAAAAACACAGTAACCAGCTCCCACGTTCCCAAGTCCCCCATCCTTCCAGTTAATTTTGGTGTATTGGATGGACGCTGGGTAAAAAGACACAGAAAAAACTAGGGACTCTAAAGCCACCAGTGACCATCATCAAATCCAGACTAATGGTTATTTCTCTGTAATTCTTCCTTATTTCAGCCTTGGCCTCCGGTGCTAGAAAACTGTTGGGTCATCTCTTACTTTTCTGATCACTTACCCCTCTTGCAAGAATCCTTTTTGGGGTGCCTGGGTGGCTCCGTCGGCTAAGCATCCGACTTCAGCTCAGGTCATGATCTCACGATTCGTGGGTTCGAGCCCCGCGTCGGGCTCTGTGCTGACGGCTAGCTCAGAGCCTGGGGCCTGCTTCAGATTCTGTGTCTCCCTCTCTCTCTGACCCTCCCCTGCTCATGCTGTCTCTCTCGCTCAAAAATAAATAAAGCATTAAAAAAAAAATTTAAGAATCCTTTTCATCTTCCATTCCTTCCTTGTGGGCATTCCCTACATTCAATCTCTAGTTCTTTTCTCCCTGTACCATCTCTTAAAGAACACATCCAGTTTCATACCTCCCACTTCTAAATTCATCCCCCAGTGCTGAATTCTCCTTGAGCCTACAATCCCATATTGCTAAGAACTTGTTGGATTTCTTCTCCTGCATATCGTACCAGAAAACCAAAACTGGCTTATTTTCCTTAACATGGAAAATGTTTTTATAAACCCAGAAGACAAAGACAAACACCTATTTTCTAAAACATGGGCAAGGACTTGAACGGGCAACTCACATACATGTGTACACATACACAATGCGTGTATAGATACACAATACAGAATGCACAGTAAAAAGAATGTTCCCCTTCACTAATACAATGCAAATTAAATGTTGTGATACCGTTTTTCAATGATTCCATTCTCAGTGGTTAAAAAGCCTCAGAAACTCAGCGTTGGTCTAAGTATGGGCAGACACATTCTTGCATATTGGTGGCCGAAACAGAACTTTGTACTATTTACTCTCTGTTGAATTATTTCTCAATGTGTACTGAAGTCTGTCTTTCTTTAAAAAATTTTTTTAATGTTTATTTACTTTTTAAAAAATTTTTTTAACTTTTTTTTAATGTTTTATTTATTTCTGAGAGAGAGAGAGAGAGCATGCGCAGGGTAGGGTCAGAGAGAGAGAGACACACACAGAACCAGAAGCAGGCTCCAGGCTCTGAGCTAGCCGTCAGCACAGAGCCCGACGTGGGGCTCGAACCCACGAACCGTGAGATCATGACCTGAGCCGAAGTCAGACGCTTAACCGACTGAGCTGCCCAGGCCCCCCAATGTTTATTTACTTTTGAGGGAGAGAGAGAGAGAGAGAGACAGAGCGTGAGTGGGGGAGGGGCAGAGAGAGAGGAGACACAGAATCTGAATCAGGCTCCAGGCTCTGAGCTGTCCACAGAGCTCAACGCAGGGCTTGAACCCACAAACTGTGAGATCGTAACCTGAGCCAAAGTCGGACGCTTAACCAACTGGGCCACCCAAGCGCCCCTGTACTGAAGTCTTTCAAATGTGTATGCCCTTGGACCCAGCAGGCTTCAGTTCTAGGGGTTTAACTTAAGGAAATAATCCAAGATCTATGCAAACCTGTATGAATGAGAATTATTGTTTATATTGTTTAAACCTTGGAAACATGCCAAATGTCTAGTAGTGGAAGATTACTTAAGAAAATACGGTAAATTCCTACAATGGAATGCTATGTGGCCAATACAAATAATGTTTTAGAAGTATATTTCATTTCTCAAGAAAAGGTCCGTACTATATTATGCGCCATATTTTGTAAAGGAATATACAGAATTATCCCTATTTTATAAGAAACATACAGACTGGAGGGAAACGTATATAAATATTAATGGTAGTTAACTCTGGAGAGTGCTGTTGTGTGTGATTGCTGTTTTCTCCTTTATAATGTTCCCTATGTTCTAAAATCTCTACAGTGCACACTGCTTTTTAAAAGTAAATAAACAAAACCTGAGAAACATAATTTGTTTGTAGTAGCTTATCTAAAACCAGAATCCTCAACGTCCCCACCAAGCAAGCACCCTTTCCCAGCTTCTCTCTTTTCTGTCCACAGTGCGCCCACCAATCCAAGCTCCCAGGCTTAGAACCTTGAAGCCTCAGAGCTCTCATTGCCTCTTCCCTCCCTCTTACCCGATTGCTTGACTGAGCGATCGCCCTTCTGTAGGCCATCTCTCAAGTCTGTTGCTCCCTCCAGAGACCCAAGTCAGACCAGCTCAGTTCAACCAGTGCCTGGATGTCCCTCCACCAGGTCCATGTTGGTGGAGTCGTCTGTCTTCTCGCCTCTGCTTGCTCCCTCCTCCAATCAATCGAATGCCCCGCAGCTGGGATGATCTTTCAAAAACTTGTATAAGGGGCACCTGGGTGGCTCAGTCGGTTAAGCATCCGACTTTGGCTCAGGTCGTGATCTCACGGTTCGTGGGTTCGAACCCCGCGTCGGGCTCTGTGCTGACGGCTAGCTCAGAGCCTGGAGCCTGCTTCAGATTCTGTGTCTCCCTCTCTCTCTGACCCTCCCCTACTCACGCTCTCTCTCTCTCAGAAATAAATAAAACATTAAAAAATTAAAAAAAAAACAAAACAAAAATTTGTATCATGGCTCTCCCTGCTCAAAACACTCAAAGGGCCCCCAAATCCCTAGGGAAGAAAGCCCATATGCTTCCTTCTGCTCTTTACAGCACCGTGCTGGGTGGGAGGTCCCGCGGAGGGGGCACATGGGAGGCTTCTGGTGAGTTTTTGTGGACGGTGACCTAAGTCTTTAAGAATAAGGTGTGGGGTTCGCCCCATCTCTCCACTGTGGTCAGTTTGAAAGGTCTGTTTCCTCTCCTCTGTGCACTTGGACCAGAGGCCAGAGTTTCACGGTGCCATATTTGGACACAGGAAGAGGCAGCCAGGGGCGATAAAATATGGCTCAGGAAACCTCAACTCTGAGTCTGTCCCAATTTCCGATGCCTGCTACGTAGGGGGATGCATCGAGAAAGCACATTGGCCCTGAAGCCTCTGTCTCCCCTGCAGTGGTGAGGACCAAGAACAAACAGTGGGAAACTTTCGTTCATTTTCTTTAAGTAAAAGAAGAAGGAGAAAGGGGTGAGGGTGAGGGGAAGCAGAAAGGGGTGTGCATAGAACAAGCCCCGCTTGAGGCGGGCCACGCGTGAAACTCAGCTGTTAACAGATGCCCCTCTGAGGTCCAGAATAGGCCAACTCAGACTGAACGGTGGCATATGGTTGGATGTCAGGAATACTCCACTGGGAGGGGGGGGGGGGGGGGAGGGTGAGACTGTGAGGGTAATGAACTTGCCAGATGGCGGTCCCGGCCCAGATCCTGTCTCTCACTCTTGGAAGACCCGCTGGCACTAATGGGTGAAGGGGCTATCTGGGAACTAGTTGTGAAAATGTCAGCTGCTGAGGGGCCCAGCCCATCCCTCTCTGGGGGACCTAGTCTGAAAGCAGGTCCAGTCGGCCGTAAAGATTGCCTCCTGGCACCAGCCGTGCCCTTCCTGGACTGCTCGGGGCGCCTTTCTGGTTACTGAATTCTTGGTATAGCCCCACCCAGAAGAAACTCCCGACTCCTCTTGTCCAGCTTCTCTTCTCCCCGGGGCCGTTGGCCAGTTAGCACTTTTCTTAAGTACGTGCAGTCCTTTTTTCCTTTCCTCCCCTGGCTCCGTGGAAGCCTGCCCCGGTTCGAGGCTGTCCCTGTTTTGTAAAACCATTAACAGTAGGAAGCTTTGGGACTAGCAGCTGAAGCAAAGGCTTTGCAAGGCTGCCGATGGCTTGGCTGACCCCTGTGGGGACCAGGGGTCCCGTGGAAGCCTGGAGGCAGCGCTCTCTGGCCGGGGTTTGGGGTCGGGGAGACACAGGTGTTCCATGGCATCGCGTGTTATTTTCAAGAGTCCAAGTGGATGGGTAGGAACAGGTGCTTCTGTTGACGGCTCGCCACAGGCTAGGCACCCACGCTCAGTGTGTCATCCTCGCCCCCCGTCCTATGAGTTAATGACTACCCGTCCCTGATCTTACAGGTGGGGGGGCTCTGAGAAGCTAAGTACCTTGTCCGAGGTCAGAAGGGGAGGGAGGAGGGATGCTCACGGAGACCTGTCTGGGTAAAAGCCTATTCTCTTCACGGCTACACCGTGCCACCTTTGTGGTTGCCCCAAATGCCCTCGAGAGAGGAATAATGGCTTGTTTGAAGTCCCTTTGTAATATTCGCTGAGCATGAGGCATGGACCAGGCATTGGGCTAAAGCTCGTTGGGTGTTGGGGCACATCTGAGTCCCCCGAGCACCTGTAAGATATCTCCTAGGACAGACGTGGAAGAAAACAGAGTCTCCGAGAGGTTACCCAGCCTTGTAGGTGGTGGAGGTGAGAGTTAACCCAGGTCTGTGAACCCCTGGACCCACCCTCCCACCTCTCATGAGCCCCCTCTGCAGTTTTCTCTGTCTGGAACTACGGTGACATTCATTATGGAGCCTGGAGATGTCTGTGCCCATGAATCATGATTCCTTTTTTTTTTTTTTTTAATATTTATTTATTTTTGAGAGCTCATACGGGGGAGGGGCAGAGAGAGGGGGACAGAGGATCCGGAAGCAGGCTCTGCCCTGACAGCGGCAAGCCTGAGATGGGGCCCGACCTCCCGACCTTCGAGATCATGACCTGAACAGAAGTCGGACGCTCCACTGACGGAGCCACCCCGGCGCCCCGGGAACCTGTGATTTCTGAGCTGGCGGGCCACTCTTCTTTGGAGCAGGGAATAGCTATGGGAGGCAAGACACACTGGGCCCGGGCGAGCATTACTTCCTTGCTCAGAGATCGTTTGGATGAAAAGTGAGACCCAGGTTGCTTTTAAGCACATTGTTGTTTTCTCCCCTCCCTCCCCTCCCAAATTAGGGTGAAGGTTGCCGAAGTGTCCCCCTGGCTGGACATGTGGGGTTTGACAGCTTGCCCGACCAGCTGGTGAATAAGTCAGTCACCCAGGGCTTCTGCTTCAACATCCTGTGCGTGGGTGAGTATTTCCATAGCAGGAAATTCGATTACAGAATATGGATCTTTAACGGCTGGATGTGGCTTTGAAGGTAATTAGGTTCAACACTGTGCCGTTCCCATCTCTTTGCAAAAGTGCTTCTCCCCTCCCACCCACCCCCACCCCTTCTTCCTCTTTTCTCCCTCTGTTCGCTTTTGGAAGCAGCCGGCTGTGATTGTATTTTTCCCCTGGCCAGACCAGAATGCGTGGCCGTACCTTGGGGGAAGCCGAGCCTTGTGCCACCCAGGGGGAATCTGCTAAGGGTGCTGGCTGGCTCAGCTACGCTGTCAAATTCCTTGGGACTGGAGAAAACAGGAGCCGGACAGGACTGGGGGGCAGGTAGTGGAAGGTCCTGGCCCCCCACTGTGGGCAGTGGGGTGGGGCTGTCCATTTCTCTGTGGCCCAGCTATGCTTGGACAGTTTGAGCTCAAGTTCAGGGACCCTACAGCTGCCGGCCAAGGCCAAGTTCTTTTATTTTCTCAAAACCTATCTTCACCTGGACCTTTAGTCTCCAATGTGGGGACCATGTCTTCTCAGTCCCCTCTAAGGTGACAGTCACAGCACAAAGAGAGTTAAGGAATGTTTCTGAAATGAACTGAGTTAACTCGTTATCTTTGTCAAGCACTTTCGCATGGGAGCAATTGGAGTCTTTACCGGGGCTCCGTGAAGTGAGCAGAGGGAGGGGTATTTGTATCTTCACGGAGCAGGCGGGGACCCAGACATTTGGGGAGGATCAGAGACTTACCAGAGGCAACCCAGAAGAAGTGGCCGAGCCAGGACAAGGCCCCAGTCCCGGCCAACCCCCCTTGGTCCTCCCACTGTTTCTCTAACTGCGGCCAGCGACCTCCTTAGAGAATACAAAGGCACTTTGGAAACGGTCAAGCCCCAACCAAACAGATATGAGGAGGGACAGTTCATTCACAGTCTCTAAGAATTGCTCCTTTTTTTTTTTTTTTAAATGTTTTATTTCTTTCTAGGAGAGAGAGAGAGATAGCGTGGGCAGGGAGGGTCAGAGAGAGAGGGAGTCACAGACTGAAACAGGCTCCAGGCTCCGAGCTGGCAGTCAGCACAGAGCCCGACGCGGGGCTCGAACCCACGAACCGCGAGATCATGACCTAAGCGAAAGTAGGACGCTTAACCCACTAAGCCACCCAGGCGCCCCAGAATTGCTCCTTAAGACCTTGAAAAATCCCAAACACAATCACAGCACGTAATTTTCACTCTACGGTGCAGTAAAGCACACCTGCCTATTTTCAGCGACCTACTTCCAAACCTTAATGATTATATAAATACTATAATGGAGTCCGTTTTCCCGCCGGTTGGAACGCTCAGACACTTTAGCGGATTGCTCTTTCTTATTTTTGTAGAGTGTATGGGAAACTCATTCTGGTTGAGGCCCTGCACCACCGCTGAGTGGAGAGCAGCAAGCCACTCCTTGATATGGAAGACAGGCAGTCAGCGAGGCTCCCTCACTAGCCGAATGACTCACTCCCACACATCAGCTCAGGAACCCATAAAACGGAAATCTGTGCTTCACAGAATGACACGTCATGGGCCTTACAGTCCACGGTGAGGCCATTAATTCTGCAGGTGCTGGAAGCCTACTCACGGTTATGATGAGATGCTGTTAGGAGAAGGATACAAAATAAATAGAGGGCACGGTGATGATCAGCCTCAAGATGCCATCACATCCAATATGAGCACTGGCAGATCTCTCCAATCTTTGGCTATTGGCCAACTTATTTCTCATAATGCTTGATTACTGAAAGATTTCCACACAAACACATTGGATTCCCTTGGCGTTCCTCCCGGAGCTCGGTGTGACCTGTACTGAAGTTGAGGAGATGAGAAATGAAGTGACAGGCCCACCCCCCCATCAGCCTTTCAACTGATTGCAGTTGGGTGGGTGAGGTAATCTTTAGGAGGGAGGCCGTGTCCATCAGAATGGCTCTCCGAGGGCAAGAGGTGAAGTACAATGGGACCTGGGGACCACGGGCTCCCCGAAGGCCCAGAAGAGGAGGCAGCCGAGCTCCAGGCAGGGTGGGTGGGGGAAAGAGCAGACCGCTATCCTCCAGTTCCCACCCAGGTGCTGGATGCCTACGGCTGCATCTGCACACACCTGCTGGGAACCACCCCAGACCTTTCAGGAGGGGAGGAGTAGGAAGGAGACCCTCACCCCCAGCGACCCACCCCCTCTTCTTTGTTTCCCTGCTTGGCGCATGCATCTAGTGCACCCAACCTGGCCCAGGTTAAGTTCATTACCCAACCCTGATCCCGAACAACCTGCGGTTTATGCACCCTGCTCTCCATCTGTGTTCCCAACCCTGTCATTGCCCAGAGAACCCACAATTTGGGCCAAGGTCACGAGCGGTTTAGAATGGCTCTAAGGCTGCAATCTCAGTCCAGCCATGGAGCCGGCTACCGTCGCTGACTTGGCAAAGGGTCCGTAGCTTGACTGGCGAAGGTGATCTTTTCTCTCACGGGACTTTCTGTGGCCATTCTTTCATGCTTACCTCCTGTGCCTAACTATCAGGTTTACTCCCTTAATGACTGTTATCAAATGAGTCTGTTTAGGCATAGAAGATATTCCCCCAAAGGATTTTCTTTTCTTTTTTCATACGGTGTTTTTTAAAACGTTTATCTATTGGGGCGCCTGGGTGGCTCAGTCGGTTAAGCGTCCGACTTTGGCTGGAGTCATGATCTCATGGTTAGTAGGTTTGAGCCCCACGTCGGGCTCTGTGCTGACAGGGCAGAGCTTGCTTCCGGTCCTCTATTTCTCTCTCTGTCCCTCCCCTGCTTGCGCTGTCTTTCTCTCTCAAAAAAATAAACTTAAAAAAAAATTTTTTTTTTAATGGTTTATTTATTTCTAGGAGAGAGAGAGAGACAGCATGAGCAGGGGAGGGTCAGAGAGATAGGGAGTCACAGACTAAAACAGTCTCCAGGCTCTGAGCTGGCTGTCAGCACAGAGCCCGACGCGGGGCTCGAACCCACGAACCGCAAGATCATGACCTAAGCAAAAGTCGGACGCTTAACTGACTAAGCCACCCAGGCGCCCCTAAATTAACTTTTTTTAAAAGTTTATTTATTTCTTTTTGAGGGGCAGAGAGAGAGAAGGAGACAGAGAATCCCAAGCAGCCTCTGCACTGTCAGTACAGAGCCTGATGTGGGGCTCAAACCCACGAACCATGAGAAGGTGTCAGATGAGGGTTAGCACTCGCTCCGATTAACGGAGACCTAGGATGTTTTTATCACAGTGTTGTTTATCTTAGTGCTGGGCTGCTGACCATAGAAGTCCAAGCCCCAGCAGTGAGTACCCCACACCCTTATGTGTGTGCGTGCCTGTATGCACATATGCATCTTGGGATTGAGAGAGGATTTTTATGAATCCAGAGCCTACTTTATATGTAAGGGTACCAATAAATGGCACCTACAGTTATTATTATTATTTTTTTAATATTTATTTTTATTTGGGGTTGGGGAGAGCACGAGCAGGGGAGGGGCAGAGAAGGGGACAGAGGATCCGAAGCGGGCTCTGCACTGACAGCAGTGAGCCCGAGGTGGGGCTCGAACCCACGACCCACAAGATCATGACCTGAGCCGAAGTCGGACGCTCAACTGACGGAGCCACCCAGGCGCCGCACGGCTCTTACTTTTAGAGGGCAAAGCACACCCGTGTGGCCAGAGCATGACTCCTCTCGAACAGATTTTCTATGGGCAATAATTACTGAGTGAGATGAAGGTCCCCTCCCCCTTCCCACTCCCCCGACCAAAAACGCATATGAGTCGCTTGGCTTTAGAAATTGCAAAGATCCCACGATCCTAGATATAGGACAGGAGGCCTCCGAGGACCCGCCTGAGCCAGCGGTATCGATGTTCGGGGGTCCGTTGCTTTGCGGTGCTGGGAACGAGCTCTGAAGAGACACAGCCTTCCGAATGTGCCAGCGGCAGTAATGCCTGTGCGGACTGCAAAGAGTCATAATGATAATATTTACTTTGAAGCTGCTCGGGATTCCAGTCTCCGCTGGGCTGTGTTGAACTTGGAATGAAACACCCAAGAGAAGCGAGATTGAAGCTCACTCAAGAGGAGGGGAGGGACAGCTAGGATTCTGTCAAGGTCAGGGGTCGACTGCTTCACGTGTTCATCCCTGGGAAGGGCAGCCGCTCACCTGTCCCTGTCGGAGACAGGCTGCGAGCCGTGGTGCGAGAGTGTGTGCCAACCCTCTGCTGGGAGAAATGCCAGGAAGATCAGGAAGAAGAAGACCAGGAAGGTTACAGAGCCATGACCTTGACCCTGTCCATAGGCTCCCTAGAGTTCCTGGAGAGTTTCCTTTGGAACCCCTCCTGTTGAACTCAGAGACATTTGTCCCGGTTTATTCCAGTATTCGGAGCTGGCAGGCACTTTAGCTTCATGTGACCGCGAGCTCTGTGTGAACAGGGATTGTGGCTGTCCTGTTCGTCGCTGTATCGTTGGCCCCTTAAAACTGCACGTGGCTCCTGTTAGAGGCCCCGTACTCCATCCCCTGCACTCCAGGGACCAAATGAACCAACATAGCGCGCCTATGGGACGCACTAAAGACATGTCGATTATAAGTACGGGCCCCAGTGTCAGACTGACCGGATTCAGTACCCGCTCTGTTACTTGCTACTTTAGACCCTAGACCAGTTCCTTCCTCCACATTTTACAGATGAAGACGGTGAGGCGCGGAGAGACTGAGGAGTGGGTTGAATTGACGTGGCTCGGAAGTGGCTCGGGTAACCCTTATTAAGGGCTCCCTCATAAGTTTATTGTGGGGAATAAATAAGACAATATAAGAATCACACAGTAAGTACTCCGGAAGCCATAGCTAGTGTTACCATTCTAACTTGCTAATTTGATGGGAAGAGAGAGTAGGTCCCAGAGAGGGGAACGCACTCGGCTGGGCCTCTACCGATAACCTGACTGGGACTCTGCATTTCATCGCTTGCAATGACTTAATTACACGAGGTACCAGAGGATGCAGATATTGGCAGCAGGTGAGGACAGAGGCTAAGTAGAGAGGTCGACATTGGACCATCCCAGGGAGTAGAGTTTGAGAAAGCATATTTCACATTACATGTCTTAAATTGGAATTCTTTTTTAAGAACCTGGTGTTTCCTGCGGCGCCTGGGTGGCTCAGTTGGTTAAGAGTTCAGCTTCGGCTCAGGTCGTGATCTCACGGTTCATGGGTTCGAGCCCCGCGTCGGGCTCTGTGCTGGTGGCTCGGAGCCTGGAGCCTGCATCTCCGTCTCTCTCTGCCCCTCCTCTGCTTGTGCTCCGTCTCTCTCTGTCTCTCAAAAATAAATAAATGTTAAAAAAATTTTTAGTAAAAAATAAAAACCTGGTGTTTCCAGAATACCATCTACATTAAGCCAAGTGAGATGGAGTCCTCCTGGCCGGTGGTGGTGGCTTAAAAAGGGTTAAGAAACCCTGCCGTCCGTACAAGGAGGGAGGCGAGGGAGGCGAGAGAGAAATGGACCCCTCGGGACTCCCCAGGTTTCCTGCTGGAAACTGCCAAGTCCCCACCTTCCTGCAGGGGTGTGGAGGCGGCTGACCTGATCTTCCTCAGTGCTGGGCCCGGGGCCGCGTGGGAGGAGACAGCATCCCAGGCTCAGGCTGGGGCTGTGCCAACCATTAAGAGAAACCTCCCCCCGACACCCCCTCCAGGCTCCACAGTGATGAGGAATTGGAACGGGAGCACTCAATAGCCATGGGACCCGCTCACTTGATTTTCCTGCCCTCTTCTCGTGTTGCATTTGTCACGATTCCCCGGACACCCGCGGGTTCTTTTCTTCCGCTCATCGCTGGGCATCTGATTTCCACAGGCCTTTTGTGCCGTCAGGCTTTCGGGTGGTCAGTCGTCCCGCTGCTCCTCATTGCTGCCCTGCCCTGCCCTGCCTGGCTGGCCTCCGGTCGTCCAGCTGTGCAAACATAGCCGCTGGCAGTCTGTCGCTTGCTCCTGCCGCCTCTGCGTGCGCCTTGGCTGGGCGTGCTCCCGGTATGGGAAGGTACCCCATCCCCTGCGCTCCGCGATCCTTAGCACCAGGGGCCAAGGCGCCAGCTCCGGGTGCTGGGGGCTCAGGGCCCACCACTCTAGGAGCTGCAGGGCATTCAGTAAAGGGCTTATGGAACAGAATTGGGGGAGAGAGGTGGGAAGCACATGGAAAATTCATCAGGCACAGACAAAGATGGGCTCAAGGGGCGCCTGGGTGGCTCAGTCTGTTAAGCGACTGACTCTGACTCAGGTCATGAGCCCACGGTTCGTGGCTTCGAGCCCTGCGTTGGGTTCTGGGCCATCAGCACAGAGCCCGCTTCAGATCCTCTGTTTCCCTGTCTCTCCGCCCCTCTCCTGGCTGGTGGCTCTCCCTCTCCCTGTCTCCCTCCCCCCCCTCAAAAATAAATAAACTAAAAAAAAAAAAAAAAAGATAGGCTCAAATGTAGCTTGAATGTCAGCACCCAGAGGGAAGGTGATTTAAGGGTGAGCCGCGTTCCCTCCTCAGAGATAGATGCAGCTGAGCCGCACCCCCACCTCGGGCGGGGAGGGGGGTGATACATTCCGTTGCTTGGCCAACTCTGTCACCTCCCATTGCAAAGGCCCCACCTCACCACATTTTTCTTGAGACCCAAATACTTCCTGTTCCTTTAGGGAGGAAGAAAAAGGGGCCTCTTCTGGGAGAATCTTTGCAGCTAATAGGTATAGCAGACCTTGGCTGGAAACACGATCTGTGTGAGGAACCATTTCCCCGCACCTTGGCAATCCACCACATTAGTCAGACCTGGCTATGAAATTGGGCTGGGGAGCCCGGGCTGAGCTGAATGTTCCTCTTGTTCTCTCCCTCGCCAGTCTCTGTGCACACAGAAAGCTCTCTCTCATCAGAGACAGATATTGAAAGAGCACGTCCCGCATTCAGAGCTCATTCTTCAGACTAAAAGGCAATGCCCCGAGGGCGGGGAGCAGATGGACCATCTGCATTTACACACTGCGGCTCTAGGCTCTAACCCTAGCCAAGGGCCACCTTGCAGATTTGTACCGTTGGTCAAAAAAAGGCACGGGTGTGTGTGTGTGTGCGCGCGCACACTGGGCCAGGAATCGGCCAGTGCTAACCCACTGCCCACGGGGAGACATCTCAAGGGTGGGGAGGGGGGAAGGGGAGCAAGGGGTGAGGATACCAGAATAGCAGGGTGGTCTGGGTGTCCCAGAGGCAATCCAGGGTGATTAGCTACTGAATCTTTTATCCCTGGCATTCCTGAATCGCTTGGCAGTCGGTGGGGAGACCCAAATGCAGTCTGGATCCATGGAGATGATAAGGGTCTGTAGCACCCAGCCCAGCTTGTGGCCTCATAGGACATTCCGCCCACTGCCAGGCCACCAAGTTTTTCCCAATGTCTTCTTGCCCTGAAGACCCCTTGGCTCCTGGCAGTGGCTTGACCTCCCTTCTAGTCTCCCAGGAATGGCCTCCCGAATGCTTCACCGGCCCCCACAGCCTTTCCCCGACTCGTCTCCCTGGTGTGAAAGTCAAGACTTGAAATTCTGAGGGTTTAATTTATCAGTATCCTGCAGCCCGTTAGTTAAACACACACATGACGGGCTTGTTTGACATCTAAGGGAGAAGAAGAATTTGTGGCCTGCTAAGTTCCCTCCCCAACAGCTAAAAATGGCGTTGCCCCCTGGGATACACATCTGGGCATCCTCCGAGGATATTTATTTGACAAGGGACTGCTGTCCCGTTCTTTTAAAATCGAAAATAGCCCTTTAATTTGTATGACAAAAGCTGTCTATGTTCCACATAGAAAACCTGGAAATTACACAAAAGCATTTAAAGGGAGAAACGAAAACCGCACATGACCCCACCACCCAGTGGTAGCCCCTGGTAAGAGTGTATTGTATTTCCTTCCAGACTTTTCCCAGGCATAACTCTACCTCTCCCATCACTGCCTTTGCGTCGTTTCTTTTTCTGACTATAAAAGCAATGCGTATTAACCTTCAAGTAACACAAAAGTAGGAAGACTAAAAGGAAAATTATCCCAATTCCACCATCCTGAGACGCTCCTGGCTAATACGTTGATGCAGCCTCTTTCCTTTTTTTTTTCCACTTAATTGAGAGCAAAAAATCTAAGTTTTAAAAATGTTTACTTATTTATTTTGAGAGAGAGAGAAAGAGAGAGAGAGAGCATGTGTGAGCAAGCACACCAGTGGAGGAGGGGCAGACAGAGGGAAACAATCCCAAGCAGGCTTCACGCTCAGCTCAGCGTGGAACCCAACACGGGGCTCGATCTCATGACTGTGAGATCATGCCCTGAGGGGAAATCAAGAGTCCAACGCTCAAACGGCTGAGCCACCCAGGCTCCCCGGTCTGTATAGTTTCGTATGCTCTTCATTTATTGTCTTCTCTTTTCCATGTCAACGAAAACACATCCAAAACATGATGTGGAACAGCTACAGTGTTGTTGGGTGAACAGACCATAATTTCTCCTTTTGCTTTTCAGGAGAGACAGGCTTGGGCAAGTCGACCCTCATGGACACCCTGTTCAACACCAAGTTTGAGGGGGAGCCAGCCACCCACACACAGCCGGGTGTCCAGCTCCGGTCCAACACCTATGACCTGCAAGAGAGCAACGTGGGGCTAAAGCTCACGATAGTGAGCACGGTGGGCTTTGGGGACCAGATCAACAAGGAGGACAGGTAAGGAAAGCGATGGGGTGTGGGGGCTGCTGGGAAGCCACAGGGAGGATCTCGACACGGGGTCCTGCCTGGACGTCCTCCCAAAGTGGCACGTGCAGGCTGCCGACACCGCAAAAGCCCCGCCTCTGCCCGGAGTCCCTGTTTACAGCGACCATTCTCCTCGACCCACTTTGCCAAAAGAGCTCCTACCCTGTGCCGGGCACTGCCATGCCCTGACCATCTAAAGCGGGACGACTTTGTCTCTGCCCTTGAGGCAGTCACAGGGAAGACCGGTTTTGAGCCAAGAAGTTCCGTCGAGTGTGATATGCCTTGTAAAGCACTGGGTACAAAGAGCTGAAGGGCAGGTTACCATGAGCACACGAAGGCGAGAACAGTCAGTTCCGTGTGGGGACGTCAGGGAGGCCTTCACGGAGGAAGTGCCCCCTGTGCCAGGCTGGAAGGATGAACTCTTTTGCCGGACAAACAGGGGAAGGGAGGGAAAGGCAGTCCAGGCTGGGGGAACTGTTGGTACAGAGGCAATGAGATGTGGAAGAATATTCTAAGGAACTGTCACTTGCACTGTTTGGCGAGCTCAGAGGCAGATCTGCTAGGAAGCTAGTGAAGCTTAAGCCACAGGGCCCTTGCTTACACAGCCCCTTCCAAGGCCCTGTAACTAAGATTTCCACTAGCATGAGCTAGTGGAAAGTAGAGGGAGATGTGCCTTAAGAGGTCAGTGAGAGTCAGATCATGGAGGAATTTCTAGAATGTGCAGACATGGAGCCATTGAGAAGTTTCATGAAGTGGAATGAGATAGCCTGGCCCTTGAAGAAGGTTCTTTGGAAGTATATGGAGAGTAGGAAGACCAACTAGGAGATTGTTGGACCATCAGATCAAAGCCAGAGGTAACCCAGGGCACTGAGCAGTTGGAGCAGAAGACGTTCTGGAAAGAGACCAGGCAGGAATATGCAGAGAGGTAGGAGAGACCGTGGGGGTGGGGTGGGGTGTCAGAATGGTGCGTGAGGGAGGGCAGGGTGCCTCCCAGTTGCGGATGTGTGGAGGGCCGGGTGGGGGGGTTCGGGCACCATCTGGATTTAACTGGACGTCACATAGTCATCACACGTGCCTCAACCTTTGAGGATTCTCTTGCTTCTTAGATGAACTGGCTCCCCAGTTCTCCTATTTCTCTCTTAAAGCTCCAACAGCCGTCCTCCTTTCCTTAGAACAGACAAAAATATTTAGCTTCTGAGTAATTGAACCGAATTTTGTTTTCCATTTGAAATTCTAGACGGACACACCTCTGCTTTTTATAGATTTGCTTATTGTGCTAAACTTGTTTGGTTGAGAATAAACTGGACCCTGGGGAGAGGGGATATTTTCGGTCATCTCAGCTGCAGACTGCTCAGGATCTTTTAAGTTTCTCACAATTCTCAGGAACATACATTCAACATATTTTTTTTTTTTTACATTTATTCATTTCTGAGAGACAGAGAGAGACAGAGTGTGAGCAGGAGGAGGGGCAGAGAGAGAGAGGGGAGAGACAGAATCTGAAGCAGGCTCCAGGCTCTGAGCTGTCTGCACAGAGGTCGATGTGGGCCTCCAGTCACGGAGATCATGACCTGAGCCGAAGTCAGATGCTCAACTGACTGAGCCACCCAGGCGCCCCACAACATATCTTTTTTTAAAAAGCTTATTCATTTATTTTCAGAGAGAGAAAGAGTGCAAGTGGGGGATGGGCAGAGAGAGTGAGCCGGGCGAAGAGAGAATCCCAAGCAGGCCCCATACCACCTCCCACGGGTGCCGAGCTCGACGCGGGGCTCGAACCCACAAACTGCCAGATCATGCCCTGAGTCAAAGTCAGACGCTTAACGGACTGAGCCACCTAGGCACCCCCGTTCAGCACATCTAACATCGGAACCCGCCTTGGTGATGATGGTTTGGGAGGACCGAGCTGATTACGGCCCCTTAGAGGCCAATCTATCTTCGTTACATTTGTAATATCCTTATTGTTTTTCCTGATTATAAACACGATACGTACTAATACCAAATCAAATAATACAAACTTGAAGAAGTAGAAATGCAAAGCTTCCCAGAAATTGGGCTGCGGCGCAGGGGTGGAGTAAGCTCCAGGGATTTGTAATAAAAAGCAGTGTTTTCTCCATCCTGACGGGGCCATTTGGGCACAGATCTGTCAGTGCCGCCGCATTAATGCAGAGCACTGGAATGCCATCCTTTACTCAGGGTGCATGGTCAACTAAGAATAGTAGTGACTACAGCCACATCCTGGGGAAAGCCACTATTTAAAAGATGTAGGAGCAGGGCACCCCGGTGGCTCAGTCGGCCGAGCACTCGGCTCAGGTCATGATCTCACAGTTCATGATCCCTGGCCCCCCTCTCTCTCTACCCCTCCCCCACTCATGCCCTCTCTCAAAAATAAATAAAACATTAAAAAAAAATGTAAGAGCAAGAGGGAGACTGAGGACAGGCTAGAAAGAGGCGTGCTTAGGAACTTACGCTTTGGTCTCAGACAGACCTGAGTTCCGATCCCAACTTGCACTCGCTGGCGCAGAAATCTTGGACAAGCATTTTGCACCGCTCTCGGCCTGTTGATAACTAATGTTGTGGCTGGTCCAGCGCCTGTGGTTCTTATGCCACCAAGACGCCTTCAGCCGTAACCATCAGGAAATTTGGGGACCAAAAAGGTTTATTATTCACAGGTCCTGGAAAGCACATGGCACACCCAGGAACACACGGTGAGGTCACGGGGGAGAGTAAAGAGTACACAGGCTTGGGGTTCTGCTTTTATCTAGGGTGGGGAGTCTAGGCCTAGGTTTTGGTGGGCTTGCCCTGGATCGGGGAATTTAAAGCATAAAAGAGTGTGAATTTAAAGCGCTGGAAGAGAAAAACAAATGGCCCGAATGGTCACTTATGGAAATCAACCAAGATTTCTAAAACAAAGGAGCCCAGTGGCACAGAGTAACTCATGAACAGAAGATATTGTTATGATAATGACTTTTATCGGTAGAAGACTCGAGGGAGAGTTGTACCATGTAGCATATAGGAGGGAATAATAAGTGGAACTGAAAAATTTCCATTGGGTTCGGCAACACAAAGGTCATTAGTATACTAAGGAATAACAGTTCTGGGGACATTGTGGGTAGAAGTTAAATTGCCAGGGGCGCCTGGGTGGCTTAGTCGGTTAAGCGTCTGACTTTCGCTTAGGTCATGATCTCACAGTTCGTGGGTTTGAGCCCCGCATCTGACTGCCAGCTCAGAGCCTGGAGCCCATTTCGGAGTCTGTGTCTCCCTCTCTCTCTGACCCTCTCCTGCTCATGCTGTCTCTCTCTCTCTCTCCTAGAAAAAAAAAAAAAAGTTAAATTGCCATGGGTGAATGGAAGGTAAGTAGATAAAGGCATCGGAAAGGCAAAAAGGGGCACCTGAGTGGCTCTGTCAGTTAAGCGTCAGACTCTTGACTTCAGCTCAGGTCATGGTCTCGCGGTTCATGAGTTCAAGCCCCACATTGGATCTCTGGCTTGCGATTCTCTCTCTCCCCTCTCTGCCATCCTGCCCCCACCTCTCTTGTGTGCTCTCACTCTCTCCCAAAATAAATAAATAAAACAACAAAAAAATAATAGCAAAAAGAGCAATAGAACAAAAAAGTGAGACCAAAATCAAGTTCATGCTTACAAGGGAATTTGGCATATGTAAGTCAGCAGGGAATGAATGGACTATTCAGGAGAATGTGCTGGGAAAATAGGCCATCCGGGCACCTGGGTAACTTAGTCAGTTAAGCGTCTGACTCTTGATCTAGGCTCGGGTCATGATCTCACAGTTTGTGAGTTTGAACCCCGAGACCGGCTCTGTGCTGAAGGCGCAGAACCTGCTATGGCTTCGGTCGCTTGCCCCCACCCTCAAAATAAATAATAATAATAAATAATCTTAAAAAAAATAAAGAAAAGAAAATAGGCCATCCATTAGGAAAAAATAGAATGAGACCCTCCCACACAAACACTAGTCACAAAAATAGATTCCAGTTGGATTAAAAACAAATTCTAAAAATATAAGGAGAAAATATAAGAATGTTTTTATAGCTTTAGGGGTAGAGAAAGGCTTTTCCAATGTGACACAATCCGAAAGCCATATAAGAAAAGACCGACAGATTTAAACTTATTAAAATGAAAAAAAACACCCTTTGTATGTTGAAAGATACTATAAACAAAAGTCAAAACAAACTACAAACAGGGAGAAGATATTTGCAACTGATGTGGCAGACAAAAGATCTTTCTAAATTGTACAAAGAGTTTCTGCAATTCAATGATAAGCAGGTAATTGACAGGAGGGGGGAGTATAAATGGCCAATTAACATGTGAAATGATGCTTGTCCAAGGTCACCGGTGATTAGGGAAGTGAGAAATGAAACAATGAAATATTTTTGATCGGTCAGATTTGCAAAAATAAACGATAAAAATATAACGGCTGCTAACACCAGCTGATTGCATTTATGTTGCCGGGAATGTCAACTGATACAGATTTTTTAGAGGGCAAATTTGGTGGGATCTGTTAAAATTTTCAAGGTGAATACCTTATGCTCTAGCAGTTCCACTCTTAGGTATACGGCCTAGAGAAACGATTGCGCGCTTCATGACAAGTGTATTCACTATAGCACTAGACAGGGAATAAAACATTTTTTAAAACGGTTTACGTTTCCAGCAGGATAGCAACGAAGCAAGCTGTGGTCCCGCCACACAAGGGTGTTGTCTTTGGCGGTTTATTTTTATTTATTTTTTTATTTTTTTAATGTTTATTTCTTTTTGAGAGAGAGAAAGTGCAAGCAGGGTTGGCACAGAGAGAGAGGAAGACGCAGAATCGGAAGCAGGCTCCAGGCTCCGAGCCATCAGCACAGAGCGCAACGCGGGGCTCGAACCCATGAACCGTTGAGATCGTGACCTGAGCCGAAGTCGGAAGCACAACTGACTCAGCCCCCCAGGCGCCCCTTTGGCAGTTTAAAAGAGTGTGGTAGATCT